GTTTCCAATACCATTTCTATGCTGATGACACACAAATCTATCGCTCTACTCCTCAGCTCACCCCATCAGTTTCCTCACGTATCACCGATTTACTAACAGACATATCAGACTGGATGTCACACCACTTCCTAAAACTCTATCCAAAATTGAGCTCATAATATTTTCTCCCCACGTGCCTTCTTTCCCTTCTCAGTTAGGATCAGTAGCGCTACTATCAACATATTCCTGCATGCCAGGGTGCTAGGGGTAATCCTGGATTCTGAACTATCCTTTCAGGTCCACATCCAATCCCTGTCCAAATCATGTCGCCTCAACCTCCGCAACATCTCCAGAATACACCCCTATTTAACCAATGATACCACAAAGCCCCTAATTCACTCCCTGGTTATCTCTCGCCTCGACTACTGCAAAACTCCCTCCTCATTGGCTTACCTTTACATAGGCCACCCCCCCTCAAGTCCCTCCACTGGCTTTCACTAATAAAATTGAAAATACTAACAACAGCTTACAAAGACATCCACAACTCTGCCCCCAGCTACATCACCAACCTGGTCTCAAAATATCAAACAAACCACTCTCTTCAATAATCCGCAAAGGGCCCAATAGAAGCCCTGGTGAAATTGTGCACATAAACTTAGGTATATATAGTTATTAATAGCAATATCTCCAGATGAATGTTGCAGCAAAGCCTAGTTGAAGGAGCCCCTGAGGTTGATGCCATGTCTGTCCTTGTGTTGGAGACCTGAAGAAAAAATCAACAGTGACAGGAATATTTTTCAGTTGTTGTCCAACCAGCCTGGGATGGAACTTCTCATCTACAGAAATTGTGGTGTGACTCTGGAGTTTAAAGTCAGCATTTCAACTTTTTTCTAGTAGTCTCTAGAATAACTAAGATGGTGTAGCGGACTGCCGGCACCCCACTTGAGTGTCTCCATCAGAAAATTGCTTCCTTGCTGTTGGGACACAGGACCAAGGTATTATAGCTGGACATTGCACCTAAGGACTAGACAACACTAGCTTAGGTGCAAATGGAACTGTTTATTGAACAGAAATACAGGTTTTTTACACACTTCAGAAATAGGGCAGTCTGCACATGAACAATAAAAACAAACAATACACACTGGGATAAACATCCCCACACTGATTAGGTAACGAGGTCAAGTTGACACCAGACTAATCCCATCATGTAGGATGTTTCAGCAGGACTAGCCAACAGACAACTGTGATCTAATTAACAGTAAGCTAATCAACAGCCAGACACTCAGGCCAGCCAAGAGCCCACCAAAGACAGTCTGGCACCTCCAACCCTGAATACACAAAAAACATTACACATGATGTGTTTCAGGTGCCTGGCCCACACTGTGCAATCTGTCCATAATGAGCCAAAATACAATATTCTAACAGACTGAAAAAGTGGAAATAATATATCTCCATACTGTAGATTTCTTGAGGAAGATTATTGATAAATATTTCTGTCTCAAGTGAAGGAACTTCTCCAACCCAGTCCACAGGAGGGCCACCATAATTAACCTGTATAAGATTAATATTACACCTTTCCATCCACTCCAGAAGGGAAGCTTTATTATATTTACTCAGCGAATTGATCTAAGCCTCGCTTTCAGCGTTCATCATGGTATTATCCATCATCATAGTCTGATCCATTTTCTCCTTGTGATCAGAGGCTAAACTGACCTTTTTTCCATGCTCTGACTGGGAGAAGCAGACAAAATCCCCAGTCTCCTCCATGGGCCATAATCAGTGGGTAGAAGACTAGCCCCTAGCCCCTGCCCCTGTTGGTTCTGTCACAAGCGGTATATAAACTCTATTGCAATAAACAGGTTCCCTTACTAACATACAGCAAGGTGACCATTACATACAGTACATACAGTAACACAGACCTACCTATCTAGCACTGTGCATGTGAAATAATCAAAAAGACAGGGAAGAGATACTCTGTGAGTCACAAGGATTTAGATATACAGGTGAAACTCGAAAAATTTGAATATCGTGCAAAAGTTCATTTATTTCAGTAATGCAACTTAAAAGGTAAAACTAATATATGAGATAGACTCATTACATGCAAAGCAAGATAGTTCAAGCCAAGATTTGTCATAATTGTGATGATTATGGCTTACAGCTCATGAAAACCCCAAATCCACAATCTCAGAAAATTAGAATATTACATGCAATCAATAAAACAAGGATTGTACATAGAACAACATCGGACCTCTGAAAAGTATAAGCATGCATATGTACTCAGTACTTGGTTTGGGCCCCTTTTGCAGCAATTACTGCCTCAATGCGGCGTGGCATGGAAGCTATCAGCCTGTGGCACTGCTGAGGTGTTATGGAAGACCAGGATGCTTCAATAGCGGCCTTCAGCTATTCTGCATTGTTCGGTCCCATGTCTCTCATCTTTCTCTTGGCAATGCCCCAAAGATTCTCTATGGGGTTCAGGTAAGGCGGGTTTGCTGGCCAATCAAGCACAGTAATCCCATGGTCATTGAACCAGGTTTTGGTGCTTTTGGCAGTGTGGACAGGTGCCAAGTCCTGCTGGAAAATGAAGTCAGCTTCCCCATAAAGCTCGTCTGTGGAAGGAAGCATGAAGTGCTCCAAAATCTCCTGGTAGACGTTTGTGCTGACCCTGGACTTAATGAAGCACAGTGGACCAACACCAGCAGATGACATGGCTCCCCAAATCAACACAGACTGTGGAAACTTCAAACTGGACTTCAAGCATCTTGCAGTGTGTGCCTCTCCATTCTTCCTTCATACTCTGTGTCCTTGGTTTCCAAATGAGATGCAAAAGTTGCTCTCATCAGAAAAGAGGACTTTGGACCACTGAGCAACAGACCATGTCTGTTTTTCTTTAGCCAAGGTAAGCCGCTTCTGACGTTGTTTGTTGTTCAGGAGCGGCTTGACAAGAGGAATACGACATTTGAAGCCCATGTCCAGGATCCATCTGTGTGTGGTGGCTCTTGATGCACTGACTCCAGCCTGAGTCCACTCCTTGTGAAAGTCCCCAACACTTTTGAATGGCCTTTTCCTGACAATCCTCTCCAGGCTGCGGACATCCCTGCTGCTTGTGCACCTTTTTCTTCCACACTTTTCCCTTCCACATAACTTTCTATTAATGTGCTTTGATACAGCACTTTGGGAACATCCAACTTCTTTTGCAATTACCTTTTGAGGCTTTCCCTCCTTATAGAGGGTTTCATTGATGGTTTTCTGCACAACTGTCAGGTCAGCAGTCTTTCCCATGATTGTGATTCCTACTGAACCAGACTGAGAGACCATTTAAAGGCTCAGGAACCCTTTGCAGGTGTTATGGCTTAATTAGTTGATTAGAGTGGGACACTTTGAGCTGAGAATATTGCACCTTTTCACAATATTCTCATATTCTGAGATTGTGGATTTGGGGTTTTCATGAGCTGTAAGCCATAATCATCACAATTATGACAAATCATGGCTTGAACTATCTTGCTTAGCATGTAATGAGTCTATCTCATATATTAGTTTCACCTTTTAAGTTGCATTACTGAAATAAATGAACTTTTGCACGATATTCTAATTTTTCGAGTTTCACCTGTACACTGTAATCAAATTATTAGATCATAGGAATACTTGTATAATAGTCCCTTCTGGTCTGGGGTGAAAATATAACAGCAGCAACTCCATGGCATGGAGAGGATATGTGTCTCAGTTCTCCCTCAGTCTACTTCTTGGAAACTCCTTTTTATAAAATATCAAAGTCCACCAATCTGGGGTTTCTGACCCAGAGAGGAGGAACAGGAGATTGATGTACATAAATAACTCTAATAGTAAAAAACATATCCACTTACATTTACAGACAGTAGAAGGCAGCGGTTCCTTACAGATGTATGTTTAGGAAGGCCAATACTCTTAGATTTGATTGGTCCCCCTTCTTTGAATTAATTTTATATCTGCCCACAACTAACGGTCTTCAATCATACACATCTGAGGGACATATAAGTGAATTGCTGTAATTTGACATTAATTCTAGAAAAAAGAATTCCTTACTAAAGTAAGTTTGTTGATATTTCTGAGCATAATTAAAAGCTGGCTTGTCACCCCACAATGCATGTCACATAATAATATCACAAAGCGTAAAAGAACATTATACTACCCTTCTATTTTCCCAGACAATGGCTCAACTGGAGTACAAGTGAACATGAAAAGGTAGAGTAAGTTGTCGGGGAGAAGTATTCTTTGGGCTCTCCGATGGCTGTTTTCATGTTAAGAACCCTACGGGGTATTTTGTTCTGCTGAGTGCATCATTGGTTTTGTACAGAGCTTTATTTCCCGAGTAATTCCCTTATAATTGAGATAACACTTGTCTTTTGAACATATGCTGAGATGTCTTTTGCTTTTCTTTGTTCCCAGGACAGTTCAAAGAGAATCATGCACTGTTTGGTAGGTGTGGAAAAAGAGATCCTTTAACAATGACTGTGTCAATCGGGAGGAAACACTCCGAACTTTACAACTTGACTCAGAAAACATCTGACATTTCCAGTTAATAAAGTATTTAAAAAGTAATTATCGTCTAGGCCTGTAATTAATTACAATGATTTTGCTGCTCTGTTACAGGATATCGAACCATCTCTTATTTCCTTTAGAAACCCAAATGATGGAGCAAGTTCCTGAAAGCAGTGGAAATGGAGGGAATGTAAAAGTTAACAGATATAAATGTCATATTAAAGTCAATCTATTATCAGGTAGATTTTCTTATGTGAGGTTCCATTTAAACCATGCTGGTGTGACGTTATGCACATGTACAAGTACACAATCCCAATGCTCATGTTCCTGCGTTAAAAATGGCTGTGTGTATAAGTGGGTGCTGCAGCGACCGTTGGCTGGAACTGAACAGAATCAGCAAGGGAGAATGTCACCAGCACACCGAGGATCACCAATATGGGTCCAAAAGTTTTAATGAAAGATCACATAGTTACAGCAAGGCAATGTTTCAGAATCTCGTAGGACCCCTTCATCAGGCATGTGAAGTGTTCCCATGCACCACCTGTACTCAGGCCATTCATTTCAAAGCCTCTGATCCTTTTCTAAAGACATGCCACATCAAACTGCATGGTGTTGAGCAGGGGCGGACTGACAACTCATGGGGCCCCCGGGCAATAGGGGATCATGGGGCCCCTGTGTCCTTGCCCAAACTCAAAAAAGCCTATGAAAAAGGTACCAGGGGCATCTCATGGGGCCCCCTACTGACCCCTGGCCCTCGGGCAGTGTCCGAGTTTCCAAATGGTCAGTCCTTCCCTGGTGTTGAGGCACCATGCTGTTTGGCGCACAATGCTGGGACAAGGTGATCCAGCTACCAGGGCAGAGATGCCAAACTGTGACGTATAGCACAACATGATCTGGTCATGAAGGGGGTAGAACCTTCCAGAGCTTAAGTGGTTAAGGCAGCTCATTGATTTTGAATGGGCCATCAATGCACAAAAACACTCTTTTCTCTCTTTTTTGGCAGCCCAGCACACTGTATTGGACAGAGCATACACATCTGTGTGTTGTGATGCCCTATAACACAGGTGTGGCTATTTTTTTTCTTTTGCAAATAACATACATTTGCAAAAGTCTTACTGTAACAGTTTATGATAAGTGTTTGAGCTCCAGCTGTCAGCAAGATTCTGCGCAAAATCTTACCCGTACATTATACACGTGCAACATTTACATGCATGCAGATTAAATGGACCCTATAGGTAGGTTGCCACCCCTGCTCAGGGTCAACATTAACAATGTGTACGTAGCTGTACCACTAATTACACACTATTGATGTTTACATGTTAGCCCTGTATGACTCATTCATGTGGTGGCAAAGCATGCTCAGAATGACCAGGACCTTCAGTCATACATGAATTCATGAATGGTTGCTGAGCTCATTGTGTGTCTAGGAGCATGAATAGATCGTTTAGGGCTGACATTTAAATGGCACCCCTGAGCACTGGTAGTAGAAGCCAATAGAGTTCCAATAGAGATGCTTTGCGCTGGCACAAACGAATACATGTGTACAGCCTAAAATGCAGCCCAGAATATGGATTTGGATGCAGCTCTGTTCTATAATTTTTTTTATGCTGCTGAAAGCAACAAAACATTACTTTACTAAGTGCTGCTGTGTAACTGGGCCCAAAGATGTTTATACTGCTGCATACCTACAAAACTATAAACTGAACCCATCTGTACGAGGCATTAATATGGTGCCAACACATGCTCAGGATGTAAATATAAAATAAGTATGCAGCGCTAATGTAAGTATAATCAAATGACGAAGCAAATAAATAAATAATGCACAATAACATATGTTAAATATGTTAGATAACTCAGTCCTTATAGTAAAGTGATTAAGTGCAGGTGTTCCAAAAGTCCATGATCAAGAATAACGTGACTCTTGTGTTGTTGTGAATGTACAAACAATGCACTAACCAGATAGCGCATTAATTGCGCATGGAGCAATTAAGACCTGCTCCTGGTGCTCTGGACTTGTGATACCAGGCAGATGTCATCAGCAAGTCGGCCACTAGATGTCATCAGTCTAGGTGTATTCTTAAGCATTCCACCAGGGCCATCATCAGCAGGAGAGGGGGGAGTCATATATCATCCAAATCCTCAGGAACCTTCAAAAACGGGCTCACATGGAAATAATGAGCCCCAAGAAAGCTTCTAATAGTGTAGTAGGTCTTTAATGGTCAAAATTCCAGCATAAACAGAAAGATAAAAACTTACATCCGGATCTGATATATCAACCAATCAGGATGGCCTTGCGGTATATGCACACAGGTCAGGGGCACCTCTCTGACGCGTTTCGTGTCAAAACACTTGCTCAGGATGGCCTCAGTATTCAGTCATTCATGAATGCTCTGGGTGCAGCTCAATTCTATTTTTTCTTTACACAGATCAACTGTGCAAATAGATTTCTACAGATGATTTCTACAGATGAAACACATCTGGAAGCTGCAATGTGTTTACTTAGGGAGGAGGGAGGATTACTGAACCAACAGGGCGAGGAGTAGCCAGCTTGTGGATATGAAGTTCCACATAAACCACTATTCAAAGTGTTCACTGACAATCAGGGGTGGACTGACAACTCATGGGGCCTCTGGGCAATAGGGGATCATGAGGCCCCTGTGTCCTTGCCCACACTCAAAAAAGCCTGTGAAAAAGGTACCGGGGCATCTCATGGGGCCCCCTACTGACCCTGGGCCCTCGGGCAGTGCCCGAGTTTCCAAATAGTCAGTCCACCCCTGCTGACAATCATACTAATGTGTGAGATCAATATCATCTGGTTGGGGAACCTGCCTGCAAACTGTGGATGAAAAACAATGAGAAGAAAAGTGTCTTAAAGCTCAACTCCAGGAAACTTAAAAAGTATCCCTTGCTGGGGGCTGTGCCCACACTGCAAGGGATACCTGCTATTCTAGGGATGAGGAATTGCACTTTAACTTACCTGATCCTCTAGGGAGATGGTGCACCACAAGCTCCAGGAACGGACTGTCCTTCTGCATCATCATGTCCAATACAGGGTCTTGATAATGTCATAATCTTAGACCACAGGAGCAATGGCAGACAGGATGCTGTGGGGCCAGTCTAAAAGCAGAGGAACATAGGCTTGGGTAAGTAGATATTCTTTTATATGCCCCCTAGACCTAAATGAGCAATTAACCCCTGCAGTGCAGGCATAGCCCCATTGCAAGCAGTAATTTTTACACTTTCCAAAGCTGGACTTTGTACTGGTCAAACTCGGGTATAATTTCTTTAGCAGATAGGAGCAATGTCTTCTCATTGGTGACTCTTGTCAATGGTATCATCTCTCTAAATATTCTGTAGCCTTCTGTTTATGTTGGACAGCCTGCACCCCTCCTTCAACAAGCACTCAATGATGGAATATTGCTTCTGCTTGGAATCCATTATTTACCTATTTTACCATTGAAAAGAAGAATAAATACTATAAAGGAAGAGTTACTGTACCAACATGTGAATTTTGAATGATCTATGTAAATAATAATAAAGTTATGCAGACTTTGCTTTACTTTTGGTACAGGGTACAATCCTTGTTCTTTTGAACAGCATTCGTCAAGTCATCAAAGGCATTATCAAATGTACTCCAGTATAAGAAAATTATAAATAATAAAATTATGTATAAAATTGATGGCCAGGCTTTCTGAAGAAGTGCTGTAGCATGAAACACGTTAAAGGGGCCATTACGCCGTGACGTCTTGCCGCTGGTATCTATCATAGGTCTGGCGGACATATTTTTAAACTCAAATGGTCAGTATACCATTTTTTGTACACCTTTACTGTTTTACTATTTTTTAACCTTATACCACGTGGATTAATAAATTGAATTTTTTAAAACTACTACACTATGGGCCATTTTTTGGTTGGGCTCTCCGGTGAGATAACGTTCACTTCCAGAGTCCAACTTTTGAGGATACAGGAGCCGAATCACTTGTGGCACCAATCCAGAGGAGGGAGCTGTTCCAGTGTTAGCTAACAAGCGTCAGCCCATCCACTAAGGAGGCCTCTGCCTGGATTCCTATCCGCACACACCTAGAGAGACGTCTCTGTAGCTGCCTACCATCCAGAGGGAGGAGAGTCCGTTAAGACGGCCCAACTCATCCATCCCATCCCAAGAGGGGGATATCTGGTCATACTGATTATATGCGTATTTAAAGATACGCATCTGGTGAGTGCATATTTTTACTATTTACTGACACACCACTGGAATGTGAAGTCACCAACTCCTGTATCAAGCACCTTATCACGAACTGTCACCAATTTTATACATAATTTTATTATTTAGCATTTTATTATACTGGAGAACACTTTTAGCGCTACACTTTTATGCATTTGGATTTTAGGAGGTTTTATTTGGTTACCTTTTATGTGCAACAGCTGCTATATGATTGAAGTGCTCACTGATTTTATATTTATTGCATTATCAAATGTACTGACGAGAATGTTTGTATGAAATTCTACTAGTGTATGGCCATCTTTTCTGTTGAATGCAGGGATGCTTAAAAACAATGCATTGTCTATGTGGCTGAGATTTTATCTCAGCAGCTGTTGATCTGGAATAATTAAATCAGACAAACACTAGAGAAAGGATCTACAAATCTACAAAGTTACATTTAAAAAAATATTTAAGCTAGGTGCTATAGTCATATATGTAAGTGCATACATGTTAACAATACCATATACTGTAGTTAACCAAAAAGAATAAATGAGCGGGCTCCCTTATCACTTTCTTCAATTCTCTATGCACTCACGAGTACAGTGATGCTGTTTTTCCACGCATTACGCACTCCCATAGAAAGCTTCACAGTTGTGCTCCAGGATGTTGAGCCGAGCTTGCCGGTTGGTAATGTGTATTGATAGGGTAATAAAGTGGAAGCACTAGCATTCAAAAATCCTTCTGTGCACTTTATGTTTGTTTTATAACTTTGGATTTCCTTCGCCTTGGGTTTTATTTACATATAAAGACATGATGCACACTGGCAATCTTGTAGCAGACACAGCACTTTGACTTTTTTTTAGCTTTATGAAATCATGTAAAGGCATAAGCTATCCCGTACCTGAATGCATTCCAACCATGGAGGTTTATACATGCCATCTTTTTACATCTGTCACTTTTATATCTTCCTGTTTGTCTATCTTTCTGTTTATTTGGATGGATTCCAGAGGATTATATTGGCTTCAGATATGTTTGAGGTGATGCGATATGTGTATCTGAACTCTCCATTTTGAGTTGAGCTCTTATTCCTTAGCTATGCCTCCTTTTAGAAAAAAATACATCTGCTATAGGAAATACATGGCTCACTTTATTTATAAATTTAAAACAGTTGTAAACCCCCCCCCCACACAACAAAAAAAAAGTATTGTCTCTACAATACATTTTTTATAACATTGGGTGCCTTTTCTATTTTTAATACATTGAGCTTTGATGAAAATACTGATTGATCCTGACAGAGAATGTGGGCACATCCAACCTTTTCAGCATTGCCTCCCCTTGAGTATAGGATCAAGATCACTTTAAAAAAATGTTCTATGGCTTACTCTGCTTTGCTCTTTTTCTGACCTGAATGGCCTGGGTGATAGAAGGACTGGTTTTCCTTGTCGTGAATTGACCGAAGGTGCCACTGTCGATCAAACATTCGTACTCATCCCAACAAGCCCACAGCTCTGTTCAGATGAGACAAAGAGCAAAGAGGTCATGTGACCCAGAATCAAAGCAATGAATAGAGGTAAAGGTGCAAGCATTTTATTATACACTGCTCTC